TTTTCAAATATTTTCAATTTTAAAATTAATGTATTGAAAAATCATCGAATTGTTGTAAGAATTTTATCAAAAAATTTGATAATAACAGAATTCCTTCAAAAAATTTCATTATTTAGGAAAATAACTGAATTCTCGCGAAGAATTTTATTAAAATTTTAAAAAAATCCTAATTAAATTCTTTTAAAGAATTTCTTTGAATTTTTTTTTAAAAACTAATGGATTTTCTTTAATAATTAAAATTGAAAATTTTGAAAGCAATTAAACTTTATAAAGAAGAATTTTATTAAAATTGTATTGAAAATAATTGAATTCTTGCGAAGAATTTTACTATTTATAAAAATAATTGAATTGTTCCGAAGATTTTATTAAAATTTTAGAAAATAATTGAATTTTATGTTAATATTTTGAAAAATTAAATCCTTTAGAAGAAGTTTCTTAAAATTGTTTTGAAAAGAATTGAATTTCTGCAAAGGATCAATTAAGGATTATTTCTGCAAGGAAATTTTACTATTTATAAAAATAATTGAAATGTTTTTAAGAATTTATAAAAATTTTAGGAAATAATTAAATTGTTATGATGAATTTTATAGAAATATTTAAAAATAATTAAATTTTTTCCTAGAAATTTAATGAAAGTTGTTTCGAAAATAATTGAATTTCTTTAAAGAATTTTATTAAAATTAAGTATATTCAAAATAATTGAATTAATTAGAAGAATTTTATTATTTTTTGAAAATAATTGAATTCTTTCAATTTTTTTTTTTTACGAATATATTTAAAAATTGCATTGAAACTTTAAAAGTAATTTAATTTTTATATGGAATTTTTTAAAAATATTTTGAGAATAATTGAATTATTTCTATAGAATTTTAAGTTCTTGCTAAAATTGAATTTTATGGAAATTTTTGAAAATAATTAAATTGGTTCGAGTAATTTAATTTAAATTGGATTAAAAATTATTTAATTCCTGCCAAGAATTTTAGTATTTAAAAAAAAAGTTGAATTGTTTCGAAGAATTTATTAAAATTTTAGGAAATAATTAAAATTTATGGAAATATTTAAAAATATTTTAATTCTTCCAAAGGATTTTACTATTTATAAAATTAATTGAATTCTTCCAAAGAATTTTTCTTTTATAAAAATAATTGAATTTTTTCAAAGGATTTATTAAAATTTTAGAAAAACAATCAAATTTTTTCGAAATGTATTTTTTTTTAAAAATTGAATTCTTCCGAGGAATTCAATTAAAATTGTTTTGAATATAATTGAATTTTATAAAAATAATTTAATTCTTGATAAGAATTTAACTATTTTTAAAAATAATTGAATTTTTTCGAAGAATTTATTAAAATTTTAGAAAAAAAAAATTGAATTGTTTCGAAATGTGTTAAAACATTTTTTTTCAAAAATTGAATTTTTTCGAGGAATTTAATTAAAATTCTTTTGAAAATAAAGGATTTCCTGCAAAGAATTTTACTATTTAAAAAAATGATTGAATTCTTGCAAAGAATTTTACTATATTTGTGACGCGATCTGAAGAAAGGGACCTTAGAAGCAAAAAATTATAGGTTATGTTTGCAATTTTTTAATTGAAAATACAAAAAAAGGATCAACTGTCAATATAAATCATTGAAGTTTAAGTCTTCATTAAAACTAAAATATTTAATAAACACTGATTTTAATTCGAAATAAGTAAAAAGAAACTTTTAAACAAGAAAAAAGTAACTCTAACCCAACCTTAAAATGATTTGCTTCTAAGGTCCCTTTCTTCAGATCGCGTCACATTTATAAAAATAATTAAATTTTTTCGAAGGATTTATTAAAATTTTAGAAAAAAAATTAAATTTTTTCGAAATGTGTTAAAAATTTTTTTTAAAAATTAAATTCTTTCGAGAAATTTAATTAAAATTTGTATGAAAATAATTGAATTCTTTCGTGAAATTTTATTAAAAATTTTTGAAAATATGAACAGTAATAATTAATTTTGTACTTAATAAGTGAATTTTTTAAATTTTGATTATGAAATTATTTATTCAACAATTTTTTTTTGTCAATTTGATATCCTTAGAAAAACTGTGGTGCCACTACTTAACTAGTATTTACTTATTCTTTATACTCATTATTTATTTATTTTAACTTTTATTGGTAACTTCTTCCATCTTTAATTTAATATTTATTTTTTTATTCAATTCAAATAAAATTATTTGTTTCTAGTAAATATTTAATAATAAAATATTTACTATTAATCAGCCTGCTATTAATATTAGTCAAGTGATTAGTTATTTGAATCAAATAAATTTTTTTAGTGTATATTTAAATAAATAAATAACAGTAAAATCTCTGGGTGAATAAAAATATTAAAACAAATATATTAAAATAAATATATATTAAAATAATAAACATATTAAAAAATTAGAAAAAATACCTTGAAATAAATGCATTAATAAAATTAATAAAATAAACACATAATGAATAAAATTCGGCACACTATAAAGACTCTCGGGATCAATTGAGAAATTAAAGAGGAAAAAAAAATATACAACCCCCATTGGAATTTTTACCAAGAGTGTATGAGGGGGTGTGATACCATAAAGAAGAATGAACAAGGTAGGTATACATATATATGTATACTAACCTGTAAACTGGACTGGTATGAATCTCGTCAGCTATTCTTTTGTGTGCGCATCGTTCAAGAGAGGGCACGAGCACTTTTTGGATGACGTCGGTGAAATATTATACAGATGTTAAGGTATATAAAATAAAATAGAGGAACGCGCAGCAGTCGTCTTAAAAATTGTGTATGGATTGTGGAGGGGGACCGGGGGGGTCCCACGTAGTCGGGGCAGTTGTAAAATATTTAGGAGTCTCTCCGTTCAATTGTCAACCCAAGCAAATCACAATGGGCAGTGATCTTAGCAGCCGAATGGAACACATTAACAATGACCACCTATTCTCAAGGTATCACATGCATTTTTTTTTCCATTTTCTTTTTTTTTCTCTTCTTTTTCTCTTTTTTTTCTTCTTCATGAGGCCCACACCGATCGCTTATTGCCGCTGATTTCTCGCTTCATTTTTCTTTAAAGCAAAAAAAATTCGTTACGCCACTAGACTAGAGAACTAGTCCATACTAATTTTTACACACACACAATGAAAAATAGGTTTTTTACGCCCTTTTTTTTAAAAAAAAAAGGTATATACATTTATGTTTTATTTCTCATTTTCTGTTCGTTTTCCTTTTTAACACAATAAAGTATTTTTGATCATATTCTTGTACAAGAAATTTATTTTCAATTTAATTTTAATTTAATTTTAATTGAAAATTTTAAAAAAATTGACTAAATAATTAATAATTTTTTCGCTAATTGCAAGAAACAAAAAATAGCAAATAAGGAGAAAAAATCCAAAAATAGAAAATAAAAATTGAAAATAATTTTTAAAAAAATTGAAACTATAAAGAAATCTAAATTTGTAAGAAATTGTTCAGTTTTACAGAGCGAAATATTTACAGATACATATTATTAATCAAAAAGTATAAATGATTCCTAATTTTTTTTTTGTTTTGATTTTGATAAATTTTGAAATTTTGAAATTGGACAATAAAATAAAAAGAGCATACAATAATTAAGACAACGGACAGCAGAATGGACTAGTTCACAAGATTCATCGGTATAATTATATATAAAGAATTAACTGTTTGAACTGGGTTGTTAGCTGTCACGACAAAGAATCGTCAAGTTACAAAAGGGTATTAAACGCCCATGATTGTCCGACGACAGTTACTATCTGGAAGTGGGGATTTGTAATTACAGTTAGGTGCAACTGAAGTGAGCAAAACCTGAAAAATACTTTATCAGTTAATTAGTCCCTAAATCTAACGGTTTTAGAAAAATCCTTTTCTGTCAATGTTCTATGAAAATATTTATCAAGAAAAAAAAATTCTCAATTTTAAGTATGATTCACAATCGAAATTCAAAAAGTGGAAGAAAAAAGGATTTTTTAAATTAAAAATTATTTCGAAAAGCAAACTTTTTAATAAGCAAAAATGATGATTAGAAAATAATTTACAACCGCTGCCAAAAGTGTTTGTTTTCGAATAGTTAAAAAAAAATGTCCATACAATTTTCATTTTTTCGTGAAAAAGAAAATAAAATAAGTTTTGGTTTCATAACCTCGGTTAACGGTATAAGAATAGAATGAAATTTATTTTTTAAAAATTAAAAAACAAGAAATTAGATTGAAAATAGTAAAAAATTAAATTAAATATCAAAGAAATAGTAAAAAAAAAATTAAATTGAGAGTAAAAAAAATGAAATTTAAAACAATAAAAAGTGGAATTAAAAATAAAATCAAGTAAATTGTGTGTTCGCAAAACAGAAAATTGAGAACCGGTGAATTTGAAATGCGCTAGTGTAAACCATTTCAGTAGCCTATAAATATATAAAGAGAAGCCGGCCGGCTAAATTTACTGCAGTTAACTTTTATGAGTTAGAAGGCATACAGGAAATTTTCATATCACCTACTCTTTAAAAAAAAAAGTTCAACAAACAGTGCTAATGTGGGAAGATGTGGTAATTAAAAATACGAAATTAATTTCTAAACTCTACGGTTTTACCAAAAAATAAAAAAACAAAAAAGAAATGGAAATAAAATTTAATGAAGTACCAATTTACTATTTCTGTTTATTGGAAATATTTCCCTAATTTCTTTAAGTCGAAAATATAAAAAAAATAAAAAAGTTTTTGTCTAAGTGTGATTGTGTGTATAAGGAAATTCATTCTTTCTATACGTAAATAATAAGTATAGCAATTCTCATTCACAATTATTATCTCAAGGTTTTACAACATCCAGACGTGACGTGATTCACATACATTGCTAAACGCCATGCCACACGAATGACAAAACGTAACTTTAAGACTTGCCTTTCTCAACATATTTTTATCTGAAAAATAAAATTCATTTCAAGTTCAATGAGAGGAAAAAAATTTTCTTTTCTCTTTCAGGATTCTTCTGTTTTGGAATTTGAGGACAAAGACTCGACTTTAAATGAAGTGGTGCATAAAATGTCTAAGAGGAAAAAGAAGAGACGCAGTTCCAAATTGAAAAAGTTCTTCTCGTCAGGTGAATTTCTTCTATTATTATTTTTTTTTATTATTATTTTTATTATTATTTTTACTATTATTTGTACAATTATTAGTAACATTATTATCATTGTAAATATTGTCAACTTTCGATAAATTGAATCTCAAAGAACAAAAAAATTCAAGGTATAGTGGTTTTTATTTATCGAATGATTTGAGGATGAAAATTTTGACAACTATCGAGAGTTGATAGTTTTAATTATTAATTATAATTACTGATTATTTTTATTTTATAATAAATTCAAAATTGTAATGACAAATAGAAATCATCAGAATTTTTTTCACTTCTTTTCATTAAAAGGCTAAAATTTTTTATTAAATATTATGTTTTGTCAAATTGAAATTAGACAGATTTTTGTTCTTCACTTCTAAGGAAAATTAGAAAATTGTTAAACAACTGTGATTAAGAAATAGAAAATTTATTTATTTTGCATTATTTTGCTTTATGAATCACAACTTTTTTTTGCAAAATTATTATTTTGTTTTAGAAAAAAAAGAAAAATATTTGCACAATATTTCTATTTTTAATCTTATTTTTGAAACAGGATTTTCCACAGGAATTAAGACATTCAAAAATTTCAAATTCAAACTTTTTCTAAATTCAACAATTTATAAAAGTATTTGTTATAAAACATAAAGATATTGATTGATATCGATTTCTTCATGTTTTCTAATAATTAAAGATGACAGAGAGATAAAATCATTATTATTTTATATTATAAGAATATTTTTAACTCTAACTTCATCAAAATTATTTTCATCATTTTAATTCAATTATTATTTTCTAGAATTTTAAATTATTTTTTTTTGAAAATAATTGAATTCCTTAAAAATTTTTTATTATTTATGAAAATAATTGAATTCCTGTAAAATTTTTATTATTTATCAAAATAATTAAATGTTTGCATACAATTTTATTAAAAAATTTTATAAATAATTGAATTTTTTTTTTAAATTTTTATTAAAATATTAGATATTGAAAATCATTGAAATTAGAAAAATGCATTTTATTTTTGAAAATAATTGAAATTAGGACAAGAATTCTTTTTTGACATTTATGAAAATAATTGAACTTTGGAGAAGAATTTTGTTATCTATAAAGATAATTGAGATTTTTACTAGAATTTTTTTCAAATTTTGAACATAGTTGAATTTTATACGAAGAATTTTATTTTTTCTTGAAAATAATTACTGCAATTATTTGTAATTTCTCAAAAATTGAATTTTTTAGTGTTTTCAACAAAAATTTAAATTAGAAAATTTTTAAATTCTATTATTTTTAAAATTGCTAATTTAATTTTAAAAAAAGTCAGGAAGAAGTTAGCCGCGCGCAAATTGTTGCTATTTTTTATTAAATTCCTTACATACAGAGAAAAATTTTATTAAAATTTAAACCAAATATATTTTTTTTAAGTTAAATCAACGTATATTTGTCTCAGAGCAAACTAGGTTATTTATTTGTTTTGAATAAAAATTTTATTCGACATAAAAAAACATTTATTTGAGCTGAATAAAATTTTATTTAAAGCAAATAATAAAAATAATTTTTTTTGAATAAAAATTTTATTCGACATAAAAAAACATTTATTTGAGCTGAATAAAATTTTATTTAAAGCAAATAAAATTTATTTGAAACAAATAAAACATCTAGTTCGCTGTGAGTTAAATATATTTTTTCTCTGGGTGTATTTTTATTTATTTTCAAGTACATTTTAGTAATGTTAAAAAAAAATCTATAAGTTCATTTTTTATTTGTTGTTTAATTTAAAAATTATTTTCCAGTTGTAAATTTTTCTTTTTATCACAAAATTGATAGATAATAATTTTTGTGTTGGAAATTTTTTGGAGTATGTATAAAAGATTATTAAAAATTAATTCTCTCCTTAAATTTTATAAATTTTATATATTATATATTTTATAAATCTTATATATTTTATAAATTGTATAAATTTTTATCTTTTAATTTACAGTTTGGAATCAAGTCAGCGAGGACGATTGCAGTAGTCAGCCCGGTAAGTTTTGAAATACGTTATTCACTTATTGTGAGTCGATAAACTCCCGACTTCACTTTCTACCTTACTGGCAACTGATTTGCCAGAAAAAAGTAATTTTCTTTATTTTTTTCAACGAAATAAAATTTAATGGGCGCAAAATATATGAAAATAATTTCTAAATTTTTTAATTTTACAAATTTTTTTATCAAAATTTATAATTACAATCGTTTGTAAATGAAAATTAAGAAATTTTACTCTCGAGTTGATATTGTAGTGACGAATTCCAACAGAAGATTGCTCCACTCTGCAGGAGCGCTTGAAATTAAATTTCTTCTTTATCCACATCAAATTTAATAAAATTCGATTGATTAAATATTAAAATTGATTAAAAACTTTTTTTTGCGCTGAAATTGCAAATGAATTACATATAATTTTTTTTTGACTACACGATTTTATTATTATGATTATAATAATAATTATTATCATTATTATGATTATAATAATAATTATTATCATAATAATAATAAATATATTATTTTATTATTTTTATTATTTTTTTTATTTTTATTATTATTATTTTTATTTTTATTTTTATTATTATTTATTATTACATGTTATTACGATCATTATTTATTATTATCATCACATTATTCTTCTGTTCATTTTCATTTTACTTCGTTTTTTATTTTACTAAAACACTTTCAGAGAAATAAAAAAATATTTAAAAAATAAAATTTATAAATAAGTAAATAAAGAAAAAAAAATGAAACTTAATGTTAAACTTTTCCAACTACAGTTATTATGCTAAAGGCTAAATATTGAATTTTTAGAAATACATTTTAGTAAAACATTTGAGTGAGAGTATTTTTACAATTTATCAAAACGAATTTAGTATTATAATAAATAACATAAAGAAGAACTTTGAAAATTTTCTTCTCATTGTAGTTTTATAATGTATTATATCTTTCTTGAATTCATATTTATTTCTTGAGAGATAAGTTCCCAATTTCTTATAATGCACGAGAATTTATCTGAATCGGAGTTAAATTGAAATCGGAAAATACTTCGTTGAGAAGTTCAAGTCTTTTTAAGTAGTTGCTTGATTGAAAGTCAACTCTATTCCAACTTTATATTTGATAAAAAGAAAGATTTACCATATACCGTATACCTACCTTCTTTAGTTCGTTGAAAATTGTCCTTCTTTGAATATATGTAATAATAATAATAATCGTCAAATAATTTCGAAAATTATTTAAAATCTATTATTTTTTATGAGAATAACAATATAAAATATGTTAACAATTAAAAATGTTAATTTTATAGAATATAATTGAAGATACAATAATTTTAAGTCTCGCAGTAGTATAACTTAATTTTAGTAAGACTAAAAATTAAATAAAAATTAAAAACATGAATTTAAGAGAATATAACTGAAAGAAGAATAACTTTTAGAATCAGTAGTACAACTAAATTTTAGTCAGACTTCTAACCAGTAGTGTAAACAAATATATAGACTTCCTTTTTTCAGTAGAAATAATAGATTTTAGTCAGACCCAAATTCGCATTCATGCAAATGTTATTTTCAGGGGTATAAATAAATTATAGCCAGACTCTTTAATTTTCAGTAGATATAGTAAATTATAGTCATACAGAAGTTAATTTTCTTATGAATTTTATTACAAGTAGTATAAGTAAATTTTAGTTAGTTTTTTTAAGTAGTAAAAATCAGTAGTACAAATAATTTTTAGCCAGACTTTAATTTTCAGTAGAAGTAGTAAATTATAGTCAGACAGCAGTTCATTTTCATATAAATTTCTTTATTAGTAGTACAAATAATTTTTAGCCAGATTTTTTAATTTTCAGTAGAAATTTTTAATTATAGTCAGACAATAGTTCATATTTACATTATTTACAAAGAAATTTAAATCTGACTTTTTTAAGTAGATACAGTAAATATTAGTCAGACAGTAATTCATTTCTTATAAATTTTATGATCAGTAGTATAAGTAAATTTTATTTAGTTTTTTTATGTAGTAAAGATCAGTGGTATAAATAATTTTTAAGCCAGACTTTCTAATTTTCAGTAGAAATAGTAAATTAAAGTCAGACAGCAGTTTATTTCCATATAAATTTCATTATCAATAGAATAAATAATTATAAGCCAGACTTTTTAATTTTCAGTAGAAATATTTAATTATAGTCAGACAATAGTTCATATTTACATTAATTGTATTATCAGTAGTACAAAAAAATTGTATTCTGTCTTTTTTAAGTAGAAACAGTAAACATTAGTCAGACAGTTGTTCATTTTCATGCAAATTTTATTGCTAATAGTATAAATAATATACAGACAGATTTTAAAAATTTTTCAGTAGAACTAAGCGATTTTAGTCGGACAGTAATTAATTTCTTAAAAATTTTATTATCACCAGTGCAAGTTAATTTAGTCAGACTTCCTTTAAGTAGAAAAAATAGATTTTAGTCCAACATCGGTTAAATTCCACACACAAATTTTATTATCAGTAGTAAAAATCAATTATAGTCAGAAAAAATTTAATAGGGGAACATAGTCTAGGTCGGCCACCTTTTTGACTTTTGTTTATAACTTTTTTTTAAAAATGAATTTGGACAATTGAAGTATATGGTTGGAAAGTCCTGTTTAATAGGAACATTTTTTCTGTACAAAGTAAATTGACAGGTTTAAAAATGAAAAAGTTATAAAGATTTAAAAAAAAAAAAATTTGTAGTCCAGGTTGGCTATTACAGTCAAGGTCGGCCATGTTTAAAATTCAAAGGGCATTAATCGTTAAAAAATAAAATAACATGTTTGGAGTTACGGAAAATTGATTCTTTATTGTTTACAGTTTGTAACTTAATGAAATAACAAAATAATAACAATAAACAATATAAAAAAATAAATATAAATAAAAAAAAATTTTGCACTAAAATATTAATAAAATTAAATAAAAATATTAATAAGATGATCAATTATATTATGAGTTATACAGAATTGCAGTTTTTGCAAATGAAGTAGCTCGTCCTCAACTTTGCGCATTTTAAACACATAGTGGCCGACCTTGACAGTAAGTAACATTACCGAATTGTTGTAACCATAAAGAAATACGTTTCGGGATTCGATTTTTTACTTTGTTTTTCTTTCAACCATGAGTCCCACAAATTTTCTGCATACTTGCCTTGACGATTCAATTTGTTTTTTATCTTTTATTAATGGTTTTTCACATGATGCACAAAACTTTTTTTGAGCTTTTTTTGTACCAACGTCACAGAAAACACAATTTTCGATTTTCCGAAAATGTAATTGAACAAAAAGTTAGGTTTCACTAAGACAAGCTTCGACAAAAATGCGCGTAGGTGGCGCTAGTGAACTTGACAAAAAAACGCGAGTGGCCTACCTAGACAGTAGGCCAACCTTGACTACATTCCCCTATAAAAAAAATCGAGACGAGAAATTACGAATTAAAATAATTGAATTTTTTTAATAAATAACAGTAATTAACGTAAACTGAGAAATTAAAAAAAAATTTTTAAAAATGTAAATAATTACAAAATGTGAAAAAATAGAATGACAGTGTTTGAAAATCTTATCTCCTGTATTTGATATATATCGTATCCCCTCAAAGGGAATAAACATTACGTAAATGAAACATTTCATTTATATATTTCTCACGACCTTTGCTTCTTTTTTTTTAACTTCCTCATACTGACTTTATCTGTGACGATGTGAAAAAAGGTCCAGTCGTTTTCCCTCCTATTTCATTCTACCCTTTACCCTCATATCCAGAGAGGGCGTTTCTCCGCTATTTATTTGTTCAGGACCAGTCTCATCTGCTGAAAACGACTTTCACCTCTACGTCATTAATTTCCACCCGGATGGCACAGTTATTGCAAAACGAAATAGTGTATTTAGGAGAAAAAATTGCATTTTTCATTAAGTAATTTCTTATATTTAAAAGAATATAAGATTTATTATATTTATTTCTTCTACGTATTTGTCAGTGACATTAAAACAGACTCATTAAATTAAGAGAATTGGAAATTTTTCTAATGTTATTTAAAAGAAAATTTTCTATTTACATATTTTTGATAAATGAATTTTTAATTAATTTGTAATTCATCTTTAATAGCAACCAATAATTAGCAGTTTTAATTTTAAAAAATTTTATTATCAGTAGTATAAGTAAATTTTAGGCTTCTTCAGTAGTATAAATAATTTTTCGCCAGACTTTTTAATATTAAGTAGAAATAGTACATTATAGTCAGACAATAGTTCATTTTCATATAAATTTTATTATCTGTAGTGTAAACAATATTTAGGCAAAATTTTTATTTTTAGTAGAAATAGTAAATTATAGTCAGACAGCAGTTTATTTTCATTTAAATTTCATTATCAGTAGTATAAGTAAATTGTGGTCAAGTATAATCTTTTTAAATAGAATTAATAAATTTTATCATTTCATTTTTATATAAATTTTAAAGTCAGTAGTGTCAACTATTTTCAGTCAGACTTTTTAATTTTCACTAGAAATAGAAAGTTATAGTCAAGCAGCAGTTCATTTTTACATAAATTTCATTATCAGTAATATAAATAAATTTTAATTAGCCCTTTTAGTAGTAAATATAATAAGTAGTATAAATAATTTTTAGCCAAAATTTTAAATTTTCAGTAGAAATAGTAAATTTTAGTCAGACGGAAATTAATCTTTATATATTAATTTTATTATCAGTAGTGTAAGTATTTTTTTGTTAGCCTTTTTCCAGTAGTCCAAATAATTTTTAGCGAGACTTTTAATTTTTCAGTAGAAATAAGAGATTTTAGTCAGACAGCAGTTCATTTTCATATAAATTTTAATATCAGTAGTATGAGTAAATTTAAGTCAGCCTTTTTTAGTAGAAACATTGAATTTTTGTAGTTTATTTTTATATAAATTTTATTATTCTCTTCAAATTTGTATCTATAAAATTTTTTCAATAATTTAATTTCCAATTAATTTTCAATA